GCGTCTTCTAGTACGCACACACATGCACATAAAGCTTAGTGCTCCCTCTAGAAGAGCCACTAATGGATGCTTCCCGGGGCGAGTTGGAATTAGTGGCCATTAACTCTTATGATCTGCAGGACTAATACAATAATACCGCGTGTGTGTGTGTGCGTGCATGTGTGTTCTTGTGTGCGCGCATGCCACTGCACTTGTGCGTGGATGTGCAGTTTTCTGAAATACAGCGAGCAGTACCTGAACCACGATCCCATTATGCAAGGCTGCCTGCCCAGTAACCCCTGGATCTCTGATGACACCGCGCACTGGACGATGAACGCAGAAATGTGAGACAATGCAGAGATAATAACCAGTCCACACAGTACAGTACTCCACACATCATCGGGTCATGTAGCAGCGTGTTAGATCATATATATTTTCTCACAGTTGAAGTACTGAACTTATCATTCTTTTCCTTATTTTACACTAAGACACTTTACACTTATTTAACATTAAGTAGTAATTGAGACTATGAAAGCGCTACAGAAACATCATCGTGTTACATTACAAATGAGCTCAGCATCCTACATCCAGCGTAACATTTCTGGTTTTTGTGCGTTTCTTGAGCAGAGTGCCGGTCCCGACGCGTCTACGAGTAGAACGCTGGAGCTTCAGCTTCATGGAGCTCCTCAACGATGCCATGGGGAGGAGGGAGTTCATGACCTACCTGGAGAAGGAATTCAGTGGTGAGAAACAGGAGCGAGGGAACCGATTACAAATATGGAGCATTCAGCTTTGAATACTGGAGGATAAAAAAAACAAACTGGACTTGTTATACCATTCATATTATTATGTTCACTATCACTGTTGTGGTCCATAATTTCTTGGACAAAGACACGGACTTTGTAGTTTTTTTCCCCTCGGTGCACCACCATGGTGAATTTAAAATGAAACACTCAATAGTGAGTGAAGTGTAGACTTTCAGCCTTAATTCAAGGAGTTTAACAAAAATTATTTTTAAACATTAGCCCTCATTTTCAGAGGCTCAAAATAATTTGTACGAACAAAAATAATTGTAAATACGAGGATTGTTTTTGTAGGGCGGCACGGTGGTGCGGTGATTAGCACTGTCCACCCTCAGGCCAGGGCCTTTCTGTGTGGAGTTGTTGTGGATGTTCTTCCTGCGTTTGCGTGGGTTCTCTCCTGGTACTCGGGCTTCCTCCCACAGTCCAAAGACATGCAGTTAGTGGGGTTTGGTTCATAGGTGTGAATGGTTGTCTCTCTCTGTGAGTTAGCCCTGCGACAGACTGGCGACCTGTCCAGGGTGTACTCTGCCTCTGGCACTGTGGTAGCTGGGTTAGGCTCCAGCTCCTCTGTGGCCCTGACAAAGATAAGTAGAAGAGAATAGATGGATTGTTTTTATTACATGGATTTAGTCAGTGACCGCCTGAAGTCTTGAACCCGTGGACATCATTAAATGTTGTCTGAGCAATGCAGACCTGGCACTTTGGTGGTTTGCAGAGGCAAAACTGCAAAACTTTGTGTCTGCATAGCTGTGTTTAAAGTGATCCATAACCCATTTTCCCAGTAAAGCACGTCTGAATGTCTGTATCCACCTGCACTTTCAGTTCATGTTTGCATCAATACAACACAATGTTGGCAGGCACCAGAGGTGTCCTCCCATACCCTGTCTTCAGCCACGTCCCTGTCGAGGCTGTAACTGCAGCTGGAAATGAGCATAACAGGTGTAAAATATGCGTGAAATACGAGGAATATAGTATAGATTGCTACAATATTACACATGGAAAATCTATTTAATTGTTTTTCACATCAGCTTTATTCCGAATTTGATTATCTCTCCTAATGATATTTTCCAGTCCCGGCGGTGAGAGGTGGAAAAGACGAGACAGTGGAAAAAGAGATTCAATATATTTATGTGTCCTGTATAAACACCAGAGACGTGGGCTGAAGCGCTGCGCAGCAATCAATTAAAACAATCTTTTAAATCATTAGAAGAAGAATTCAAATACAGAAAAGGTCACAAACAGACGTGGCAAAGTTTAAAGGTAGACGAATGGAGCAGAGGAAGGGCCACATTTAAGAGTGAGATGTGGCGAAGATGGAGTGCATGAGCAAAACACAGGAGAGGGATTTGCTCACCCATGCATGCGTACAATATGAACTCTTTCCACAGCTATAAAAAGGCTCTTGCCGTGTGTCACATTTTCCTGCATCAGTGTTGTTTTACCACATGCGCAGCTCCTCACCGCGTGTCTCTCCGCTCTCAGCGGAGAACCTGTATTTCTGGCAGGCGTGTGAGGATGTCAGACATGGAGAAAGCTCCAAAATCGTAGAGAAAGTGGAAGACATCTACAAGTAAGTGGACAGCCATGTCGCACATGCATGTGTTACATATTCATAAGATGAGCACCTCATCTTTTATGTAACCCAGGAATTTCCTGGCTCCTGGAGCGGCCCGCTGGGTCAACATCGACAGCAAGACGATGGATAAAACCTTAGAGGGGATCAAACGGCCGCACCGCTTTGTCATGGACGACGCGCAGATGCACATTTACTTCCTCATGAAGAAGGTCTGACCTCTGACTCACCCACCCACACACTGTGCCTTTATGTAACAGCACTTACCATTAACCATAAAAAATGCATTATAAGCAAGCGCGAGCCATGAATAAGGAACACATATCCTTCTTGTACTTTTTCATCTGACGTGGGTTTTCTGTATTTATTAAACAGTATCTCTCTCCTTTGTCCCACAAATTATAATAAAATTATGCAATGTTATAAAGTCATGTGCAAAAGTCTTGAGCCATTTCTTTATACTTAGTTTCTAAGGAGCCAGACTCTTGTCATTTTTTAAAGCGGTCTTCATCAATTGTTCTTCTAGGCTTTCTGAAGGTCTTGCAGGGGTTTTCTTTGGACATTGGCTTGCTTCTTACTTATTTTCAATCTAGTCCTTGTACCTGACCATTTTCTGAGAAATGTTGTTTGTTTGTTAAGCTGCTTCACGCTGACCTGTGAATCACTCAAGCATCACAAAGGCAATTCCTCAAGCGATGAACCAGTGTTTATACACATGACAGACAACTTAGCAAAGAACCTGTTTTAAATTGGTCTAAATTGTTGGATCTACAGCAGATGAACAGTATGTGAAAGCCATGCCCCTGAGGAGTAGGAAAAAAATCCCAACACAGGATCCGAGAGATGCATCTGGTCATGTAGTCGATCATTTACTATTCGCTGGAGCCTTTTCAGCACAAGCCTGGCTGTCAATAAGCCTCAAAAGGCCGAGCTTTGCTAAATGACACACAAACTGAACTAAAAATCAGTGAAAACTGAATTTTCAAATACTTTTATGCACAAATTTTGATTCACCTTACAATACCACATGGAAAGCAGCTAATTGGCAATGACTCCGTTTTTCAGCGTGACAATGATCCCAAATGCAGCAAAATTACACTTGCATAGAAAAACACAAACTGCATGGACTGGTCTCCCCAAAGTTCAGACGGTGTTGGAGATTAAAGGTGGACATACCAAAGAATGACTTTCAAGCTTGTTAGAATTGTCTGTTTTCTGCCTTACATACTATATTACCTACTTACATTAACAAAATATAAAAAAAAATTAGGGGTGGCTCAAGATTTTTGCACATTACTGTATGCACAGTCTGTTTTTTAGATTGTAATGGTGCCTTTAGGTGAGTCCTGCTTTACAGGAATACAGCTTGGGAAAAAAAGCTCATTTGCTTCCTTGTCAGACGAGAGGATCAATATCAGTTTCATACCAGTGAGCTTTAGAAGTGCTGCTTCAGCTTTGGTCAGAGCCAAGCTGTTTCATTGTGTATTTAGTATTTATGCAAAGCTAAGCTGGATACCGCTTTGCTCCAGCTTCATATTGCATGACATATGAGAGTGTATTGATCTTTCCTTCTTACCCTCAGCAGGACAGTAAATTAACGCATTAAAAAGAAGCCAGAAAGCAATTTTTATTTTTCTACTTTTCGCTGTCTAAATCTTTGGTTGGGTACAATAAATGTGTGACTTGCCTTTTCCTGTTTCTGAACATCAGATTTAAACAAAAAACATACTTTTTTGACTCATGTGGAAGTCCATCTTTTCTTTCCCATGAGCTAAAAGCTTCTTTTTGTGCATGTGTGTCTGTTTCCAGGACTCCTATCCAAGGTATCTCAAGTCTGACCTGTACAAGAACATGCTGGCCAAAGCCATCGTCCCCCAGGAAACCAAGAAAAGGTGACATTTTTATACTCATCCTACTTTTTTTCCCTCTATCCATATTTAAGCATGCATTTAATGAGCGCATTTTCCTTTTCTCCTTCCCGTCAGCGTGTTCCCCTTCATGAGACGCCAGAGGCACTCTAGCCCCTCCCCTGCTCAGACTGCCACCCAGGCAGCAGAGGAAGAAGGCCTTGCCAAGGGGGCAGGTGCCAACTCTGCAGCTGGCTCGCATTTCTGATCCAGGCCAAAAAAAAGAATCCAAAAGAGAGAGAAAGACTCGGTCACTTTACTCTCTGTTGTCTGAGTTTTTTCTTTAAAGTCAAACAGAGCTTCTCGTACGCCGCAGCAACATCACTAGAGCTTTGAGAAACAGGTGTCATGGCACACCTGAGCAGCATGCCACTGAAGGACAACCAGTGAACCACAGAGAAGAGCTTTTTCTACACCCTTTATTGTTGCATCCTCATCCCATCACAGTGTGCTGAATAGTTTTTCCTGTGATCCCCATATCAAGTGTTCTTTTTCTATAGAATCCTGAGCCGGTTTAGGTAAAGGCGTCGGTAACGTGATATTTCTTCAGAGATCTGCCTCAGTGTGACTGTGATTGTTGGGCAGTTTGCTTGTGCAGTTGGAGCTGCACATTGCGTTTGTCGTTGCCGTTCACTTTTCTCTGCTCTCAACTCAATAAAATGTCACAACAGCAGTTAGTGTGGTGCTACAGCCTCAGCCCTGCATGCTGTGAGTACCTGTGAGTGTGTGGATCAGCGACCAGGTTTTAGAGCACCCTTTCCTTCCTCTCTTTCTACCACACACTGCTAATCGATTTCATGGTTTAAGTTTTTAAATCACCAGAAAAAAGTTAAGTAAAAAAATAAATAAACAAACGTTCCCACTGAAATTTGTACCTTCCTTCATTTAACCCTTCCTATGGCTACCTGCAGGAGCTTTAAAAGGCTCATTATTTGCATTATTTATTGTAACACTTCTGTTGCTTCTACTTCCTTATAATAATAACCGTTCTGTGCTGGCTCCCTCTACTGGCTGCATGTGACCAAAGCAACACGTTTTCAAGTTTCCTGGAAAAACTACAGCCTGTCATCCTTTGTGGCAGGTGTGATCCCTGAGCTGTGAGCACCCTTTTCCTTCTCAGAACATTTTATCTGAAGTCTGAAGATGTGAAAGTAATGTGTAAAATAAAATCTACACCTTAAGACCCTGCAAACAAACGTAGTCTGACTCAGGCTGACTCCAATCACTTTCAGGTCAGTCTGCACTGATGAGTGGAACTAGTCCGATATATAGGACTCAACTCGGCTTGATGCCAAATGCTTGCATTTCAAGCACTGAAGCTATTTTGTGGTTATTATTGTTTTTTGCACATTTATCAATAATAATTAATGTAGTATCGCAGATTGCATGCAGTTGCCCAGTTCGGCTGCAGACTGATA